GTCCTGTTACTTCAAAATCATGCAGAAAGGAGGCAGGTGAGCTGGACTAGTGACCAGGCTCCCTGACTTCAGGGCAAAGGGTGTGGACACTGCACCATGGCAGATTCATGGGGGGGGGGGGCAACTCTCTTAGCGTCCCTGAGCATTTCTCAGCTCATGCTGTCCTTAGCCTCTGTTAGCTCAAGCCTTTCTTAGCTCAAGCTAAAATGAGAAAATAATCAAGTGACAGTGTGTATACCCCATGTACCCAATCCACTGCATGTGCTCATGGTGTTGCCTAGCTTGTGAGACAATGTTAGAGGAAGCTTTTGCTGGGATTCAGTTGGAAAGGCTCCCTCATCACCACGGTCACCAGCACTCTGAACTAAAACCAGAGAGAGCACCCAGAAGGAAAAGGGTGAACTTCACCTACGTTAGTGAGTCATCCTTCCCTGCTTTCAAGCCACTCTGGGCTCCAGACTGGCTTCTGGGGCAGAGGGATCTGACTCAAACTTGAGGTCCAGGGCATCTCGGGAGAGCTGGCTCTGGCACCTGGCAGTATGGCAGCCTGATAAGAAGACCTTTCTTTAATGAAGCAATGCCAACTTTCTAATGTTTGCATCCATGTCAGCATACAGAAAGACAGATGCATTGGAGAATGCTTTGGTGTTTCAACAAAGCGGCAACCAGGGAGGAAAAAGTATCATTCGACAACTGTCCCCATGAGCACATCTTAGTTGGGGGTTGCTCTGGCCTGCGCCTGGGTGGGCATTGGTCTCTGGGTACTCATTTGCATGTTTCCCTGTGCAGATATGACAAGAGCCCCACCTAATCCTATAACATCATAAGGCCCAAATCTTTGTTGTGGCATTCATGATTTCCCAGTTTCTTGCACATTTTCCTTCATAGCACTTACTGTGTACGTAAATGTGTGAGTGCACGTGCACACACATGCTTGATTAATGTCAGTCTCTTCTATGAGAGAAGGGGCCATGTTTATTTTACTCATCATTGGATCATCTGCTCTAAATACAGTGCTGGGCCTAGAACTGGTGCTTCATAATTATTTGAGGATTAAATTAAGGAAGGAAAGAATAACTAGATGACCAAAGATCTGACTTCTGGGTCGAACTCCATCATTTAATTACCCACGTGACCTTCATTAAATCTTGTACTTAATTTCAGAGCCAAAAAGGATCTTAGAAACCAGCTCATTGGATGATTGCAAATTTAGTTTAAACCATGGAATCCAACATAAAGCATTTGTAAAAATTAAAAGCAAAAGCAGATGCCAATCTTTTCTTTATAAAGGAAGATAAAAGCTGGCAATTCTGCCTGAAGGGCCCCTTTGCCCCTGTCCCCACACTGCAGCAGTTTCTATGGCTTCTTTATTCAATCCTCAGCATTCCAAATAGCACAGGTTGAAAAGCACTGATCTACATCAACTGTGTCATTGGATAAATGAGGAAAGTAGGATTCAGGAAAGGAAGGGCCTTGCCTAATGTCACAAGACCAGTGCACGGAGACCTGGCATTAGCATTCAGAGGTCTCGACTCCCAACCTCATTAGCCACCTTTCATCTCTCAACATCTCCAAAACTACCTTCAAAATGTTGACAAAGCCATTGTAATAAAGGATATTTGGAGTCACCCTTTCAGAGCTCGGACACGCTCTGCATGTGGAAGCCATACAGATGTGTTTGGGAGGGGAGTGAACATCCAGCAGAGCGTTTAAAGGACTTTGGAGTCAGGTAGACAAGTATTTATAGCCAAGCTCCACTCTTTACTGGATGGATGAATATAGCAATACACCCAACCTCCCCAAGTCCTGGCTTTCCATCCATAAAATGATAAGGCATGCCAGCATGTGGTGGCGCACACTATAATCCCAGTGACTCAGAAGGCTGAGGCAAGGGGAACAGAAGTTTGAGGTCAGCCTGGGTAGCTTAGCAAGACCCTGTCCCAAAACTAAAAAATAAAAAGAGCTAGGGCTGAAGCTCACTGGTACAGTATGCCCAGGTTCAATTCCCAGTATCACAAAAGAAAAAAAAAAAGAAATAAAAGAAGAAGACAGGAAGACAAGGCGCTATCCACCTGGTAGAGGATGTTGTGAGGACCTTATAAGTGATCAATAAAAGGATGCTATCAAGCCTCTGTGCATGGCAACACTTAAGGTACATATTTAAGAATGTGTTAGTCCAACAGCAACAACAATTTATATTGATCATCTAACAGAGGCAATATCTGTCCTTATTATACTGCACTATAACCAATACGATGTCATATCATGCCTACGCATCCTCAGACCCGCTCATACCCTCAGTGTCTGGCAAAGGGACAAGAAGACCACATTTTCTCAGAAACTTTAGTAAATAAGAAATGGATCCCAGCAGTTCTGGTCTGGTCACTAGTGTAGTGACTGACTTATTCTCTGTTTCCAGCCCAGACCGTAACTTCTCTTGACTACATGACTTTCCTAAAGTCACTCATCAAATCATCTTTAAAGTGCTAATATGAACTCTAGTCAACTGAACCTGAAAATGTCCTGGAGAGGCTCAAACAGAGAAGAAGGACATCCATAAAACCAAGAAGATGTTATTTCTTGACAAAACACAAAGAGTGAAATATCGGGATCTCTGCTTCATTGGTCCTCCCAAATCCAACATCTCAAACCCACGTCCTTCTCTCCAGTATCAGGAATTTCTGAGATTGATGTGTCCTCTTGAGCAATGGGCACCCATATTTGGTTTATGCCTAATCACAAACAGTAGTATCCACACTCTGCCAGAGACTATTTAAGGATCCAAAATGGAAATTAAGTAGATGACTACTGTTCTTGGGTGATTTGGGGAGAGTTATCCCAAGGGAAACTGAATCATCATTATATATTTAAAATTGTGACATTCTTCTCTGTTGAGGAAAGAAATGCCCCTCTATTTTTCACCCTTGCACATTTTCCCCCTTTTCTTGTCCAACATTCATTCTCCTGTCTGTTCCTCCATTTCATAATGCCCAGAGAGATAAGTCTCTCTCCCACATAACTCTCTGATTATACTGACCACTCTTCAAGAAGGCACACAGAAAGCTCATGTGAACTCTCACATAAACAGGACCATTGTGAGACCCCAGTCACTTGTGGGCCCATTGTCAGAGGAGGATTTGAATATTCAGCATAGTATCATATGCAGCTGGTAGAGATTTCATGAATCCCTCACTCCCAGTGCATAATACCACAAAATGAGCCAGGAAGACAGGCCTACTCTTCATACCAACTGAGAAGCCTGTAGACCTCAATCCAGGCCTTGTTAGCTGTAGGCCAGTGTTCTCTCTTGCACCATGCTTTCCCGCTCCTGTATTCTAACAGGCCCAGAAATGTGAGGGTTTGCCCTTTCTTCCTTGACATTAACTCTAAGCTCCAGAGAATTTTTGCACTAATTCCAGTCCACACTATTTATTGTGTGCTTATAATAACAGTGGCAGAGTAAAAATCACCCTGGGGACACAGAAGTGAATGAATTCTACACACACACACACACACACACACACACATTTGTTTCAAAAAGTTTCCAGTTAGGTGAAAAATGAAAGAATACATGGAGATTCCAAATAGTTTGTAATACAAGAATGCACTCTAATTGCAAATGGTGATATAGTTAAATGGGAGTAAGCAGAGAGAGCGGTGAATAGATCAAGAAGACCATGAGTAAGTAGAATGTGGAAAACCTGAGAGTTTCAAAGAAGAAAGGACTTTGGGCTATTAGCTGTCGGGGCTCAGAAACAGTACCTCAAAGCATGGCGTTATTCATGCTGAATGTTCCGAACTGACTGAGAGCCAAGGTCTCTATGTTCTTCCCCTGCCCTCCTGGTTCTGGTCTCTCTTTTTCCCCCCAAAGTACAAGGTGGGGCTTTCACTGGAATTCCCTTAAGCTCCTACAGATACATTCTCCCCTCAAAGAATTCAATGTTCATGAATCCCTTCCCCAGGAATCTCATCAACCAGGGAGATGAACTCATAGGACAGGAGACACAGGCCCAGACAGATTTTATCACAAGCTATCGCTTCTTGTTCTAATGAGCTGCTCTGAGAGATGACTTTTATTACCAGAGAGACTTTATCTGTACAACCAGACAATGATGTTCTCCATCATTTCTTCCCCTCACCCTCTCATAACTTTCTTTGCTACCACCCCTCAGAAACCCCAGTCCCCTACTTCTTTCTGCAGCTCAGGATGCTAAACAGATGTCAATCATGTGGCCCTTCTTTGTGGCTCTTATTTTGTAGGGCTCCCAGGTATGCATGCCCTTAATGTAAACGCATTTCCTCCTCCTAATCTATCTACTGTCAATTGGTGATGTAGCTTCCTCACATACTGAACCTTCAAAGGGTAGAGAAAAATTTCTCTCTCTTGTAGAGAGCTAAGTCTTTGAGTAGGATTCCAATAAGCCAAGATCCAGTTCATACCTGCTGAAGGAAAGGTTTGTTCACTGAATGTCCACTTTTTTCCTCAAATTCATGGATATATTAGAGTAGGCTCTTAGATTCCCTAGCAGCATTTGTAAAATAAGGCTACCTATGCCTCCTGTGGTTGAGAATCACCATAACTATGGATGCAGACAGAACTAGGATTTGAATCCCAGTCCTACCACCTATTGACTCTGTGACTTTAGACACATTATTTAACCTTGGTGAGGTTCAGTTACAGAAGATGAAAAGTGGAGAAAACTACCAAAATCTGTATTAGATAATTATTAGAAATTGTAAATGAAATAATAAATAGGAAGCATTAAGCACCATGCCCAGCACACAAGTACTGGATAAATATTAGGTATCTGATATTTTGATCGTCTCCTTGTCATTGTCAATTTTTTTTTTCTTTTTTACTTTTCAAAATGAAAAACAGCCTGTAAAAGGGACACGATCTCTTGACTCGAACACTTATCCAGCAGCAAGGGTGTGGCAGGGCCTGACCCCACAAAGCCCAACAGAAAGGAAAGGCGAAGGCTCTTTAGCCTCCATCATACCTGTATATTTTATATCTGGTTGTAAATCCTTGTCGGTGTCTTTCCACAAAGGATAGGTAGCTCCTGGAGTGGTGGAAAGGCCCCCTGTCTGAAATAAGCCAATCAAATTCCTTGGAGACATGTTGGTCTGTCCCAGCTGGTTCCTGGTGGGAGGGCTGCACTGAGATACGGCCCCATACAAACAGGAAGTAGAGGAGCTCAACAAACCTCCAGTTCATGCTTTTCTGCCGGCCTTTTTCCTCTCATTCTTGCTCCATTCTCTGGAGTCCTGTAGAGAACAAAATCAAAAGGAGAGAAAGGAGGGAAGAAGCGGAGGAGGAGGAGAGGAAAGGCGGGGGAAGACAAGAGAGAAGAAAAAAGTTAACACATCTTCACGATGATCCCTTCCATTAGCAGAATGCATTAAAGTTTACGCAGGTCAGTATGGTTTGTGCCTAAAGCCATACACTCTATGGAGATCTGGGCTCCCAACCCTGCTTTGTTTGGCCGTTCACATGTTGTAAACCCCTTAGTCGCTTAGGAATGCACTGTCCTCATGTGTCACACTGAGGATGTGCTGAAAGAGTGAGTGAAAGGAATTAATGCAGGAACAAAGTCTCCTACTCCCGATAAGAGACACAGACACAGAACCTGAGCTTCTGTCTCAACCTCCATCTTCACAACCTGCTGTGCCTATCACGGAGACTCAATAAACAAGAGTTCCTTTCTCCTCTCCTCTCACACAGACGTATACACACAGATGAGTGCTTTGCTTTTGCATGATCAGATGTATGCACCAAGTCTCATGGTGGGTTATCCTCATGCCTATCTGGGCTGGATACCTTGGAGATGAGTTTCTGGAGCTTGTTGGGGTAGCTTCTATACAGCTCAGTGTAGTGTCTCCCAGACTCCAAGGAAACTTGGAATCAAAGAACTCATGGTGCCTGTAAGCCTCAGTGTTCCCAGCATTCAGAGGGCATTTGGAGGGGAAACTAAAGGAGGAGGGGTTAGGTGGGGTCTTGCACACCAGTAGTCTTACTGGGTGGTATGGGAGCAAAGTGTGGGAATGCATTGGAGAAATGCTTGAGTCCAACAGAAAGCTTAGGGGAAGGTTCCTCGTGGAAATCACACAGACCACAAAGGCATGCCTCGCCTTTGGAAAATTCACCAGCCTTACTCTTTATCTTCCCATCACTAGCTTCATCTCCTCACTAGCTTAACGCTGTACTGTTGGTACCTCTCATTCTGCTGATTCTAAGAGAGCTCATCCTACTCCATATTGAAAGGCTTTGCATCTACCTTGCACCAACTATCAGTGGTATGGTTTTAGGCAAGATAACTTCGCTTATTTTCGTCATCTGTAAAATGTCGCTAACAATAACACCTATATACAGGACTAATATAACAATCAAATGAAATAATTTATGTAATGTGCCCCTTCAAGAGCCTGGAATATAATAAATGCTCAAAAAATGGCATGAATGGTAAGGAGGATAACGATGATGACGAATGCTAATCCCAATGTTAATCTATTCTCTGCTAGGGAATGTTGATCACAGTGGTCCCATAGTTTGGGGACCCAAATCCTTTAGTAACCACTTAAGGTCAGATTTTCAGTGGTCGTTACTTTTTTTCAATTCCTTCTAAAAGTGTTATTCCTGAAACTCAGCTCTACTCGCTCTACTCTTTCCTGTAACTGTGCATCAGCACTTATCACCTCATATGATACTTCGTTGTCTCTGTGTCTTGTTCATTGGGCTGTGAGATTTTAACTAGCAAGAACCTTTGAAAACTGTTTCTGCTCTTGACTAGCCATGTTGCTGTGAACAGTCACATCCCCTCTCTCCATCTTGGATGTTTATGACTACCATGTAAAAATATAATGAGGACACAAACATTTTGTCAACTGCAGAACCATCTCCACACACGATTAAACAGCAAACCTTATTTATTTACTCTTCCAGCTGACTATGGGAGGAAAATAAAGCTAAACAAAGAAAAAAAATCAAAAAGAGAGAGACAGAGATTTCCTGCCCAACTGAATATTTCCCAGTATTGCACAAATGCACCATTTTATCACGAGTTGCCACAAAAATCCACTTGTCGCAGCAAGCCCCAGCTGTCAGGGCAGAGGAGAGAAGCACGTGTGCAGAGGAGTGGGCTGGAAAAAGCTGTGGCCTCAAGTTTCGTTCAGAGCCTAAAACAAAGGCTTCCATGTTGAGCTCAGAACTGTAACAGCCACAGCTGCCAAGACTGTCTGCCATAGCCCACGGGAGTGGCAAACAGGGGGTGGAGGCGACCGTTCAGAGTTCCCTGTGGTGAGGAGCTACAGTACGCTGAAATCGCAGCACGGCACCCCTTCAGCCCTTCTCCATAGCTTCTGCTGTGAGGGGTGAGGGTGGGAGCCTGGAGAGAATGCTGAGTGTTTATGGCGAGGAAACAGGATGGAGAACACCGCAGCTATCAAAAGTGGGACAGGAACAAGGTTGTGGATGTGGTGTGGATGTGCATGTGTGTGTGTGTGTGTGTGTGTGTGTGTGTTCACGCACATGTATGTACATAAGGGAGTGAAGCTTCACCCATAGTCCTAGAATTAGCTAAGATTTAAAAGCCCCAGCCCAGTGCTTTCCAAGTGGGGACCATTTTTCCCCCAGGGGACATCTTTAATTGTCATTAAGGGGATGCTGCTGACGTCTGGTGAATATAAGCCAGGGATGCTGCCAGACGTCTTACAGTGCTCAGGACAGACCCCTGCAACAAAGGATTCTGGAACCAACATGTCGATCATGTAAAAGTTGAGGAACTCTGATCAAATCCAGTCCCTTTATACAGACCATGGCCTGGGTGGAGAATCAGGACACCTGTCTTCTAATTACTCGTTAAGGACTCTCATTCTGCCACTTAATGTTGGCAGTGCAGTAGATGTGTGAGGCTGTGTCTGATTCATTTTGGGAGTCTGTGATACCTCTACCTTTTATTAGGTATAGATGAGTATTACATGGAAGAAGTCGAGAATATCTCTATTGACTTAGAAAGTCATGGTGATTCACAGAGCACTGAAAATAAAAATGAGGTTTTCTATAAAGAACATCTTAATAAAAAGGAATATTTTGTTGAACTAGAACAAAGACTAGTATGTTTGTTACCTAAATGTTTTTGTATGAGATATGATGATAGGCAATGTGGCCCCTGTTCTATAAACAAGACCATGTTAGCACTAAATGTCATGGAGACTTGGGATCATATAAGAGTCACATGACTGATGTTTTGCATATATTGTGTGCTTGGCTTTAAAAATGTGTGTTTTCTTAGTAATAGCCTAAGAATCCAAAGAGAAGCAGATGTTAAGAAAGGTGTGTTTCACAAGGTGGTACAGCTGTTCCATCTTGTAACAAATAAGCACTGAATAACATTCCCAAGCTCACAACTCCTCAGTGTTAGATGCAGGATTTTAACCTGTGTGTATCTCATTAAATTTCTGTACCATGGTAATTGGATTCCCCACCCCAATGTCCAGGTGAAATTAGGTCTTGTCCTTGGGAAAGCCACGCTCATGAGTGATTCTAAGATAAAATGTTCTCCATAAATACTACAAGAAAGGAATAAAGTCCAATAGAGGGATAGAGGTCAGAGAAATTGTTTTTAACCCAGCGCTCTGGGAGGATACGATTTTCCACTGGGGAAACAGGTGGTAAGGAGTATGCTCGACATATTTGGAGCAGATCACAGGGGCTGGGAGAGAGAGTATGGTTTCCTATGCAGAGTGTTCAAGAAAGGCATCTCTGATACAGGAACTTCTGAGCAGAGATATGAAGAAGGTGAAGGAATAAGTGATACAGATGCCTCAGGGACAAAGAAATGTCCGTGGAAGGAAGGGAAAAAGAGACCAGAATAGGTTCCTGTTCAGATACAGTCAGAAGCAGCGAGGTTTCAGTCCGTTCTTCCACAGGGAGTTCAGGTGCCACAAAAGTCATTTTAAGGAAGAAATTATGCATTAAATGAGTATTTGCTATGCAACAGGGATCACACCAGTTGCTAATGTTCCCTTATGACAATTTCATGAGAGGAAGTCATTCTTGTCCCCAATTTACACTTGGAGGAGAGGGGAAACTGAGGTTCAGGAACTGGTTCAATGCCACAATGATAGCAAATGGCAGCTAGAATTGGAGTTTTGGAGCAACAGGCCACATATGGTTCACAAGGATGCTAACTGCAGCCAGTTCAAATGGATGGGCTCTAAGTACAAAATACACATCCACAGAATTTCAAAGACTTAGTGGAACTAGCACAAAGTAAAATGTCTTCCTAATGCTTATTTTGATTACAGGCTGAAATATTAGTTTTGATATATCAGATTAGATAAGAGATATTTAAATGAATTATTCCCATCTCTTTTTTCATGTGGTTGCTAGAAACTTTAAAATGACTCATGCGGCTCCTCTTCCATTTATCTTGGGCATTGGAGGACAGTGATGAACACTTGTGCTCTACAACCCCATTTGGGAAGGTCACTCATCTATCTCCACATTTCTATCAACATTGGGAAAAAAAGGAAATCATATATATTTGTCTTTAACACTGGTCACTTGCATTCTGCTTCTGAAATCAATAACCAAACACTAAATATATTATAAATAAAAACTCTTACATTCCAGGGCCAAATTTCCTAACCTGCACATTGTAGAGACAACCCTGGATATTTTCCACCATGCATTTGGCTCTGTTGTTCTTCCAAAAGATTCACAAAGGGAATTTCCTGCCGCTCGAGTTCAGAGCCCGGGAACACATGGCCAGTTCTATTCCAAGTACTGCCCTTGACCCCCTGTGACCTTTGGTGAGTCACAAACCCGCTGCTGTTGGATGCTCTGGTCCACAGAGCCGCTGTCACAGGCTGTAGCAGGGCGCACACGTGAGGCACTCGGCTGAACTGTGCTATATATAAGCCTGCGGTGTCATTGAGGAAACCGGTTCATCCCACACAGAGCACATTTCTAATTGTTGCCATTGTAAAATATTTACATCCGAGGCACACACTCAGGAGAAAGAGATGAGAGAGAATGGCCTTCCAGCAGCCTGTACCAAGCTCATCCTCTGGAGGTTTCGGCATGGATTGCTGGGCCATGGCCCCCATTCAGGGCCAGAGGGTAGAAGAGAATGGCTTTTCCTTCTACTTCCCCAGGGTCCTTGAGGAACTGAGCTAATGCTACACCTAAGGGCAGCCCGCAGCACCTGCCTAGAGAACCTGAGCCAATCAGGTGGCCTCTCTGAGGCCTCTACTCCCAAACACTT